AAAAAATAAAAAATTCAACATCCAAAATTAAAAAAAAAACTAGTTTTTTTTTCAAATCAAGAAGTTCGCATAGGTTTGCGTGCCGCACAAGCCAGAGAAGTCAGACTACGACGCTCAAACAGGCATAGGCAGGAATCGCTAGCTTGTGCGACAAATAATTTGAAATAAATACGCAGCGGTCCCTAGGGACCACCATGGCGCTTAACGTGTTAAAATAGCTACATACAAAATTTTATAAAAATCAAATGAAGTGTTTTTGTTGTTAAAAAAAATTGAAAACTTTCTTTAAATTTTAAAGCTTTCTCACAGGCAAAAAAAGCACTTTGTGATATAGGTAATTTTGGCTCAATCAACTTATTTTGATCTCACCAACATTCAGTAGCTCTATGTACACGGAATTTTGGGACACCCTGTATTTAGAATAACCATTATTGTTTGATCCATTGTCTTCAAACTAATACTTAACCTAAAAAAAATATTGCTCACACGTAGGTGAAAATAAGTAAATTTTAAAAACACAACAATCGACATTTGGGAGAGCCTCTAAACTCTTAAACGACCTTTTGAAAGACTCGAGATAGTGTATAATGTCTAAATTGTCTTACACTCCAAAACGCTGCACAAATAGGGAGACAGTCGAAAAAGGAAATTAAACAAAAAAATTAAAAAAATAAAAAACGTTTTTCCCAGAAAAATTTTATTCAGCTTCAAGTTTTACACAAAAACATTACAGCTCTCACAGCCAATACATATTTTTTCAGACCAATAACCCATCACAAAAGATACAGGGCGTTGTTTAAATTCGAAAAACAAAAGCTTTATAAGCGGTAAAAAAGTAGAGGACAAAGCAACCTATACTGTAATTCGATTTTGATTTTGTTTACCCTGTATAACAGTTTTAATATACCGGGTGGTGGTTTAAAAATTGTATAAACTCAAAATATAGGACTTGGCTACAATGTTTAAATATGTACAGTCTGATCAGTCTGAAATGGCAGAGGGAAAGAATGTTAAAATTTGTCACTTCCTGTAGGGTTATCTACAAGTTTCAGGTCCAAGATTTTACCAATAAATTACTATATAACCATCAACCTTGTAGTGGCTGTGACAAATTTTAACATTCTTTCTCTTTGACATTTCAGATTGATCAGACTGTACATCAGTCGATTTGTTCACATGAAACGAAAATTAAGGTAATAAATTTCAAAAATATAGGTTTATTTTTAATCAAAATATTTAAATAATTATATTAATATTGAAAAATTATATACACAATTTAAAAAAAAAACACGTTAATAAGAGAGAAAACTGAAATTACAGTAAATGTATATTTGATGATTTTTTTTGGTAAAATTGTGACGAAAGTCTAATTTATTTTTTAGTTTATTTATTTAAAAACACACTATTTACAATTTATTTCTTACACTTTAACTTTTCAATACAATATTCTATATTAAACTCAACTCGGCGCTGATACGTCGGCTATTTATATTAAGTCCAACTCCTACTAGAAGTCTCCAGACGGTCGTCTCGAAAATTCTATCTCTGACTCAACGGCACAATTCGCCCGTTCTACCCGTTTCTCGAGCCGCAGCGGCATTCCCAGAACATTCTGTCGCCTCGAGCACGAGTTGGTTGCTTTCTGAAGGCCGCGCTTGCTTTAGGCACAGGGTCGGATTAGGAATTTCATGATAATATATTAAAAAAAATTAATCAAGAAAAGGTCAAAATTGAGAAACCTGTCAAATGGTATTTGCAGAAAATTTATAATTGAGGGTTTCACAAAAATTATTGATAAATAAAGGAGCATTTTAAACCCAAAACAATAAAATATATTAAAATTATGAAACCTGTCAAAATGACGTTTGCAGGAATTTTTAAATCGACGATTTTCACGAAAATGTAGAAAATCTAAAATGGCCCCCAAAATTATTGAAAATTACAAAACAAAAAAAAATCAAAATTCATAAACCTGTCAAAACGACTTTCCCGGGAAATTTAAAATTGACGATTTTCACGAAAATTATTGAAAGAATTAACAAAAAGTTTAAAAAAAGGTAAAAATAGGAATCTTGTTTAAATGACATTTACAATTTTTTTGTAACTAATAATTATTATACTCATCTGTATAAATGAAATTACAGTTTCAGGCAATTTAGAATCGCCACTTTTTAAAACACCATCCGGTATATCAGAATATATTTTTTAAATGAATTATTTTCGCTATAAGGCTAACGTACCTATCATACTTATACAAGTTAGTGAAAGTATTTACTTTACTAAAACTACTATTTATATTTAGGTTATTTTTTGTGGGAAGGGGTATATAGGAAAATTTCCCCAGAAAACTACAAATTAAAACCGAGCTTTGAAAACAACTCGATTTAAAAAGCAGCTCTCCAGTATTTCGGTCAACATTATCTACTTTAATGAATATAATTATGGGGTAAATCTTATAAATTAGGACCAATTTTCAAAACGGCTAATTAATCTACCCAATATCTTTTTTTTAAATAACACTAATATTTTTGAAATACTAACTTAAATAGTTATAATAACAAGTGGTTCACTAGAATATCTAACTTCGAGGTCAAAAGAACCAGTATTTTAAATAAGTCTAAAGAAGTAAAAATTTTTCGAATATATGAGACATATTCGAGTGTTTAATATTTAACGTAAAAAGAGTATAATTAGTTAATAAGTTCAAAAACGTTAGGGAAGTAAGAAACAAATTTATATTTTTTATCTAATTGACATAAGAATTAATCTAGAAATGAGCAAAATATACAAATAACTATTTAGTAATACAATTCTAAAAAAAACAAACAATCAAAACCCAATTGCGATTTTCACGCCTCTGAACCTTGTAAAAGCTTTTAAGACAAATCACACACACAAAAAAAGAAACGAATAAGCGGAAATCCCAACACCAACACATTGAATTGTAGCTTTTTTTAAAATAATTAATTATAAAAAACGAAGAAAATGTCAATCAAAGCTGTATCCCAATAGATAATCGTAAAATATTGACGTAACGAACTGCCAAACATCAACAATTAATATAAATTACTGCTATATGTTAACAATTGACGCAAAGTACTGTCAGGTGTCAACAATTGACGAAAAGTACTGTCAGATGTCAACAATTGACGTAAACGGTTAAATATAGAAGCAAATGTCAAATATAGGTTAAGATGTAGCTAACGTACAGTAAAAGCAAAAAAACAAAGACAAAGCCCAATTTTTCAACGATTTTTGGCAACAATAATCATCCACTTTAATTTTTGACGATTTTATTGAACTTATTGTTACAATAATTGCAAGATTTACTTGGGACACTATTAGTGTTTAATCGTCTGGCTGTGTGTCTCTGAAAAAATAAAAACGAAAATACTATGTTTGCATTTGGCTAACAGATTATGTATGGGATATTGTCGCAATGTTTTTTTTTTTATTATTATCAGTTCCTTTGCAATCATACATAAATAGTCTGCGTATAATTTATATTTTATTAGTTTGCTGATAAGGTTGTTGTACCTGTTTATTTGTATAAATATTTTAATAAAAACATTTCTAAGAATACCTTAAATGATCCATTTGAATTTATTTTACTTGTTTTATGTATTAAAAATTTGGTAATAACTGATAAGATACTATTTATTTTGGAATCCATATTCGAGTATTTAATAATTTTGATTTTTGGGTTAGAATTTCAAAAATGTTGAAATTCGTTACAAAAATCGGAAATTCTTACCAAGAATTCGTTATTTGAGCAAGAAAACCTTAATCAGAACTAAGAAAATTCTGATTAGGATGACAAGAATTCCCAATTTTGGTAAGAAATTCCGTATCTGATTTAAAAAGTGCTACTTAAGAAATTCCAAATTTTATTTTGAAACGTGTTACTTATAAATCAGAAATTTATTAAGTTAAAAGTAAAGAAATTCTAAGTTTAAATGAGAAATTCCGAAAAAAATAGAAAGTAATTAATATAAAAAAAATCGTTAAATATATAAAAAAAAAGAATGTTATTAAAAGTGAAAACTGAAAACCTGTCAAAGTGAGATAGTAGCAGAAACGTATAATTATTGATTTTTTTACAAAATATATTGAAAAACTTTCAAAAATGTAAAATTGAGAAAACTGTCAAAATGGCATTTGCAGGAAACCTTATGATTTGCGGTTTTTAGGAAAATGACATTTGCAGAAAATCCCCTATAATTGACAATTTTCACGAGAATTGAAATAATTAGTAAAGAATTCAAAAATATTAATGACAGTTGCGAAAATCTATAATTGACCGTTTTCACGAAAATTATTTAAAACATTTACTGTAAGTTTTCTATTACGGTTTTTATAAAAAAGGTCAAAATTGAGAAACCTGTCAAAATGAAATCTATAAATTATAGTTTTTTTATGAAAACTATTAACAAACTTAACAAAGAAAACTATTAACAAAATTAAAAAATAGCATTTCAAGCGCCCAAAAAAAGGCAATTGAGAAACCTGTCAAACTGGCATTGGAAAAAAAATCTAGAACTGGCGGTTTCCACGAAAATTATTTTAAAAAATTACTATACATTTTCTTTTGTAAAAATTATTAAAAAAATTAACCAAGAGCATTGCAAAAGAGATCAAAATTGAGAAACCTGTCAAAATGACATTTGCAGAAAATCTATAATTGATTATTTTCACGAAAATTATTGAAAGAATTAGCAAATTAATTTTAACAGTGAGAAATTCCGATTAATAAGTAACGGAATTCCAAATTTAAATAAGAAATTTCGACAAAAATTAAGAATATATTAAATAAATAAAAAATCATGCAAACTTAAAAAAATACAAATTACCACGTTAAATAAAGAGATTCTTTAAAGCTCTACGAGATACAGAGGGATGAAAATTATTCGAGACATTTTTTTTTTTGAGGTGGGTAAAAGCTCGAGATGGCAAAAAACAGGCTCCCTATCTGCGAGCTGTGGAGTGTTTAACCAACTCACATGGAGAGATATCCTCTGGCCTGGCACCTGCGTCTGGCAACTAAGTAGGCGACCATTATCATTATCACTAGAGCGGCAAGGACGCAACCCACCACTATCGGTACCACGTCTGACGTAATCGGAGATGCTTCACAGTCGACAGCTGAAAGAGAATTCGTTTTTAATATTACCAAAAGAAAACATTTCAATGTCGAGCGTACGGTGAGGCTAAACTAAACTTAACGGCTCAAATGAATTTCAACGTTTAACAAAATTTGTTATGCAAAAATATCAAAAATTCTATACGGACACAAATGGCCAGGCGCTTTTTTTACAAAAAAAATGGCCCTTCGTGAAATATCCTAAAAATTATATTGTTGTAGAAAACATGAATTATAGATTTGATTTATAAACAATTACTGCAAAATTTGTTTAAGGTAGTTCACTCGTAAAACGGCTTTTCTTAAGAATTCAATAAAATTGAAATATAAGGTTTAGGAAAGCGTCGTTTAGGAAAATAAAAAAAAATTAGATTTTTTGACCGTCTGTGAAACGAGATAATAACAATCAAAATGTGCATAATTAATACTCTTGAAGCCTGTCATGTACACAAGCAATGCATTTATTTCAAGATATCTCGAAAACGGTTCTTACCATATTTTTTAAAAACTAATGTTAAATAAATCAAGAAGTTATAAAATTTTATAAAAAAATCGCTGAATTTTTTGACCGTCTCAGTAAAAAGATATAGATTTTTAAAATAAAAATATTTTTAAAGTAGTTGACGAGTAGTTTCGTAAAATTCCACTGTGTTTGAGAACTGGAATCAGCGGTTTTGTTTGAACCAAAACAAACCCTTAAAATTAGTATGAGGAAGTCACAAATTTCTATACCATACCGTTCATATATTTGCGAGATTGTCGGATGAATTTGATTAAAATTATAACATGTCCATTTTGTGTTTATATACATGTATTTTGTACAGTCTCTTACAAAAATAAAATTGATTTGCATTGAGAATCTCGAACTTTTGGTATTCACCATTACGCGATATTTTTATGTACGACTGTCGCGAGTGAACTACCTTAAGTACAAGATGTTTCCAAAATAAGTAAAATGTTTTTTTTTAATTGTTTTTTATAACGTTAAAAAAAATAATAAAATTGTCACTGCAACATGAAAATATAGTTTAAGTAATTAATTTTTTGAGATGCGTCGTAATTTATACAGGATGACTCATAAATGATGTGGTTATTATGGGGCCATTTATTATTTTACAGGTTTGAGCAATAAGAATTGTTTGTATTAAAAAAAAAAAGTCATAAAAACCATTTTACGTATTTTCGAACCTCCCTGTAATTAATCAAATTCTGAAGTAATTGTTTAGAAAATACCAATGCCAAATATTTTCTAATTCGTTGTTTTTTTTAATTTTAATTTAATTTGATGATTTGACTACACCACTGGATTTTTAAACCTTCTAAAAGAAAAGGCCCAAAATCTAATTCAAAAACATCTATCAACAGCTAAGTTTACGTAGATTTTAGAAAAATTATGAAAACCGGCAAGTGTCGACAAAAAGTACGTCACAATATAAATTTTCCGGTGAAAATGCGAAGTCGATAACAATTTTTATTCGCGAGCTATAATTTCTACTTAAGACCCGCGCATGCGTTAAATAAAAATTGAATGGATAATACGATTTGGTACCGACGGATTTTTCAATATTAAATTTTTATAGTTGGCACGTCCTCTTCCCACTAACCTCTCACCCATAAAAATTACGTTATCTTAGCCACTGTTCCTACATATCGCTGGTTTGCGAGAATAACGACGCAATTAATTTTTTTTTTTAATTGAACTAAGTATACCAAACGAAAGGAAATTAATAAATTTTATCATAAAAAATGACGCAATTCCGAATTCTGGAAAACCTTTGCTAAACACAATTCATTTGAGACAAAAAAAGTTTAATTAATGTGTATCACGTCAAAGTGAAACTATGGATTTACGTGAACACAGGAGCTTTTGGCGTAATACAATAATTTGAGAAATGTTTTCAAGAATATTGACATATTTCGATGCTTTTTATTTTAGAAGTATAATTTGGTTAGTTTTTTTTGTTTTTTATGATGCCCAATTATTTTAAATGTAGATAATAATGACATAAAACATTAGTTGCTTATTCATAATATCAAGAATAATGACTGATGTCTGAAGGGGGCTTGTTTGTGATGATTATTTATGTTTTCGTTACTTTTTTTATTATTTTTGTGTTTTTATACTATTGTATGATTTAATTAGTGGAATTAACCTAAGATTAAATTTACTACATTTTGAAATATGCAATTAAATATTTAATAAATAAATTTAAAAACGTCATATTGAAAAATCGATTATTTTTAATTGCGTCATTGTTCTTGCCAAACAGCGACACGATAACGATAGGAATTTATCAGCTGGAAATTTGCAGCTAGTTGAACATTTTTATTTTTATGAAATTAGTTTAACTGTAAACCTATTAGGAAACATGAACATACTGAAAACCTTTTTATCATTTATTTTGTAAACTGTTCGTCTTGTTTTCATTTAAATAATTGAAAGAAATGTATGCGTCTGACTCATCGCGATCTCAATTGTGCGTTTTTTTTTTGTATGCATAAATGATAAATGTTGAATAAATATCTTACGGTAAACTGAACCGGAACATTCTGATTCACCGAATTATCTACTGGCTAAAAAATATTCTGCTTAAAAAAATAGATGGTAAAATAAATAGTCCGGGAAACGTCACGTAACCTACACTCCGGGACAAAATTAAAATTGTCAGATTTAATAACACTCCTACAAGAAATTAACACACCGCTCAATATTTCTAAAAAAATATGGCCATTTTAAACAGTTTATCAAATTTGGAAGGCCCTGTTATATTTTTTATTTTAATAAACTATACAGGGTGTTAAAAAAAAGTGTCACAAAATGAAATGGTGAATAGTATGACCCAAAATAAGCAGAAAAGTCTTAATAAATATATTACCGCAAATTAACGGTTTCGGAGATACGGACCATTTTGTGTTTATAACAATTTTTTATTATTATAAAAAAACAATGATATTTATAAACAATCAATAACAACATAGAGTTAAATGAGATGTTCAAAGTGCCCTCCCTCCATTTCAATGCATTGCCATTTGCACGACCGTACATAAAATGCATGTCAGCTAATTCAATATTAGTGTAAACAGGCATAACGAAAATTTATAAAATTATTCACCCACAACAAAATAGTATCTATGAAAAAACATCGGTAGACTCCGATAAGAAAAGCAAGTTTTTGAGAATGAAAAAAGATAATCAAAAAATGATACAAAACACTCCGTATCTCTGAAACCATTCATTTGCGGACATATGTTTATTAAGACTTTTCTGCATATTTTGGCCCATACTACCCCCCGTTTTATTTTGTGACACTTTTTTTAACACCCTGTATTTTAGCTGTGCTCTTTAAGTTTTGCTATTGATTTTTTTTTTAAATATCATTCTTCGTAAGATAAATCGACTTTTTCAAGGAAGGTAGAGAAAATAGTTTTAAATATTTTTCGATCTTAGCCGCATTTGGGTACAAACTTAGAATAAAGAGACCGGAGATGTAACATTGGACACAGCGCATGTTGTCTATTTCAACATTAAGTAACCCACCAATTAAAAATCATTGTTTCCACGACGCCACCCGAATTGCTCCGATATTTCTATCCTACGCTCAGGCCCATGACACTCCCTCGGCGGGAAAAAGACGCACAGCTTTTACTGCGCTGACGTTTTCGGGATATAACCTATCACTTGTCATAAATCCGGTTAAAAACTCGCTACCATGCGCAGGCAACCCATATTTCGTACACAAATATAAACTTTTGTTTACATTTTATCGAAGTAGTTTTTGTAATACATTCACAGCTTAAAAACGGAAAATTTGTTATTTTGATAGTGGATTTAGATCAAAAATACCCCAAATACACTTCAGTGTGTGCTTTATCCTTATTATTGCTCGTTTTATTTTAGGACATTGGAATAAATAGAGTACTAAAAGTAATCAAGCTAAAAAGGTGTGTTATAAAAAGAAAATACATTGCCTTCGACTGATTTATGTTTAATATGTTTTCGTGAAGTATTTCCAACATGCTAGTTACTTGAATGGTTGTAAATTGTACGTGTAAGTGATAAAAACATCTAGTGCTTTGTGCTTCCTTTTTTTCTGTTGGTGTCCCAGCCCAGCATTTCTAGCCAGCAGTAGTAGCAAAAACATTAACATTGTCTACATTCAACCCATTTACATGTTCATGATTTATCAGCTAAAAGCAGAATACAATATTTCTCTGCAAAATGTAAACAACACTACAAGGAAAATTGCTCATGTATAAATTCAACAACTAAATCAAAATATATTATTTTTAAAGGACTTATTTATATCAACTATTATGTTAATTATAAATATTATAAGTATTTATAACAAAATAATAGTTGTGTATTAATAAACCTGTTGCTACTCCAAAAAATATATTATTTATTGATTATCAGGTATCAAAAATATGTGTACCTATAGAAATTTGTTGAAATGTTCTATTGCTCTTAATCTTTTTAATGGGTTCTTATTATAGTTGTAAATAAAAATCAACACTTTTTATCCGTCTATTTAACACTTACAAACGTATGCATATTTTAAGTTGTAAGGATCCATAGCCTCTTAATGTTTTACATTAGAAATAAGACCTGTGATGTCACATTAAATCGTTAATATGAGGTAAAGGATTTGGGAGTTGTCTTTCAGTCTAATTTGAAGTTCAATAACCATTTTGTTACACATAACTAAAAAAGCAATAAAAGCATTAGGTTTTTAAATCAGAAATATTTTTACGGTGCCTTTATGTCATAAAAAATACTTGTATACCCTTATACCTAAGATCTCGTATAAAACTATGCTCAATAGTTTTAAGATTAAATCTCTTTTACAAAGAAGAAAGCAACAGGCTGTGATATATTTTGTACTCTATTTTAAGTACAAAGATTGTGAATTGATTGACTATATAAATGTTAATGCGGCAAAGATTAATCTAAGAAACCCAAGTAACAATAAATTATTTGATTTAGATCCAAGTAGTATATCTC